GGGGGGGTTTTGGTGTCTACAAATCAAAGTGTTAGTGATTCGATTCCCAGCTACTACAGTCAACATGTCAGTGTCCTTGGGCAACATACCCAAAATGCCCCCATAGACATGTCTATGATATTGAACTTTATGCAAGTAAGTCAAGAGCTAATTGACATGTTATGTGATGATGTTATCTTTAACTTCTACACATAAAGCTGCTCTGGTACCTTTGATCATGCTGACGTCGTTGGCTCCGTCTCCTATGGCCAGGGTCACCGCCCCCTTGTACTTCTTCACCAGCTCCACCACCTGAGCCTTCTGCAGAGGAGTGACCCTGCAGCAGATCACAGCCTTACACATGCACGCTGTCCTCAGGAACTCCAGCTCCATGCTGCGCTCCAGGGCGTACGCCTGAGGGAACATGGGGGGGGAAATAGGGAAGGGATGAGAAAAGGAATTATACAACAGCTGAAAATATAACCTGTACAGTGTCAGAGACTGGATGTAGCTAAAATTCCATTAGGCGGTAGTAAAAACCAGGTATGGGCTTGGACCGATGTGGTCAGATTAAGCAAAGATCAGATATTTTTTGCAGAAAAAATTAAAAAGAGGCACTGCTGAAGTCTTACTTGGGTGTTGTATGTTACGTTTCTAATTCATTTTTTCACACATTTTGAATTAAGTAGTTCATCAAAAATTGTATTACGCTCGACTGTAACTAAATTAATTTATTAAGATTCAATAAAATAAAACGTTATTGATCCCAGCATAAATGAGAGCATAATTGTATCCTTGTTTACACAAGGATAATAATACACAATAAAAGTCAGTATAAATTAATATTAAAGGTGTTTACATAAATAGAGATGTGTATAATTATGGTTATGTTAAATATATATACATCTCAATTTTAAAGTGCAAGTCCAAGTATGAACATAATGGTGCAAGTCCAAAGTACAAACAGTGAAGGTGGTTCTGAGTTTTTATGAGGGGGTCAAGTCTTTAGTAAATAGGTCTGGTTAATTATATTTCACACAAATGAAAGCAATGTTCCATATTATGGAATGTATTTGTGAGGTTTTGCTGCAATATACAAATATCACTTTCTCCCAGTTTAGGTACGAGTATACCAAGTCACAGATTGTAATTGGGAAACTTCTCATAGCGTACCAGGCTGTGTCCGTTGATGACCAAGCCGTACTCTCCATTCACCGCCTCGTCTGCCATCACTTTCACACCTTTACCCAGAGTGCCTTCCGGGAAAAACACTGAATCCTCTCCTGGTTTCATGGAGGTTCTTGCATCCCTGAAAAAATACAAATGGTTGGATGCACGGCAGCGCTTCATAATCAGATCAGTTTCTTCAGTTCAGTGTGAACTCAAACTGTTTCTTTACACTTCCTCTGACCTCAGTTCCTGTCTGACGTCCTCGGGAGAATTGGCTGATATGATGAAGACGTCGTTCATCTCCTCCCGCAGTAAGTTGCACGAGTACCCAATGTTTTCCGCCGTTTCTGGAACATCAATTATTAGTAAATAAAATGTTTAGACACATATGAAGAGCAGAACAAAAACACAATAAAAATAGTCATATCAGAGTTAAAGACTCTGGTTCAGCATGATTTTCAGGCCAGCAATCGGAAATTCTTGATAGGAGATAGGATATTTTATGATGCACATTGCAAAATTAGGATATCGCTTAGAGTATCTGGATTATTTGTGTTACTCAAAAAAAGCGAAATACAAAGGTTGATCTATTTGGTCGAATGCGGGTAGAAATATGAGCAGACAGACAACTAAACTTTTGCCACAAAAGAGAAAAAAGGGAAATTCTACACACAATGTTTGGTGTAAAAATTCTTCCAAGATTAAAGATTGGCTTACTGGAAAAGCATATTTGTGTACATTGTGTTTCTCTACATTTTAAAAAACATTTCTTAGTGCTTTACCTCCAAATAAAGTGGCTGGATAATAATGTTTTGGCACAACTGACTTTGTTGTATAATTATGAGCTATAAGCAGAACTATTGTAGTTGTAATACATTAGTATAATCATGATTTATTTGGGACTAAATGTGTCTATGTATGTATGTATGTATGTGTGTATGTATGTGTGTGTGTGTGTGTGTATGTATGTATGTATGTATGTATGTATGTATGTATGTATGTGTGTGTGTGTGTGTATGTATGTATGTATGTATGTATGTATGTATGTATGTATGTATGTATGTATGTATGTATGTATGTATGTATGTATGTATGTATGTATGTATGTATGTAG